GGGAAGAATGCATTGTTTCTCTATGAGCAGGGAAATGACAGCAGATGGGAGTTTACTCACTGAGTAATGTGGCACTTAACGACAGCAACAACCCACACAATGATTGATAAGAAGTATTTATACCACAGGGGGTACTCAGCCAGTTTGATATTTTTGTTTAGGAGGAAAATAAGCAACAAAAGTAGCATTACAATTTAGTACATTTATTGTTGCAAGTGCATGGGAGACACCTCTCACCAATCCAAGTCAGACACCTGAACAACACGTGCTGCAGATAATGCCTCCAATAAACTAGAAAACTTTTAAAATCCTTTTTAAAGACTTAAGTCTCACACCCTCTCACATCTAAAGACAATGTGATACTTTAGTTTTACACTATAGGATTTTAACAAAAAATGGGGATCTTGCTAGATCACTATTTGCAAGACTACAACTACCTTCCTCATGAAATTATTTCCCATCCTTCTCCTGGTTAAAAATATTACACCAAACTCCCTTTGAGAAATAAGACATTTTAACAGTTCCTTTCATGTCCGCAAAAACATATGACTCTAGAAAGGCTTCATGTGTCAACAGTATTTTTGTAAATTCATCATCAGTATAATCCATAAAGACACTGTATTTGTGTACAAACTTTACACTTTGGATTTTGTCGCCTCAACTCGCTTCCAGCCTCTGTTGGTTGGCTGAACTATTTTAACGGTAGGAGATCATGGGAATGAGAGGTGATCGTTGGTAGATCAGATCAGATCGTTGAATGGCTGGTGAATAAGATACATGCTGATTTGACCACAAACTCTAATTAACTCCATTACTCCACCCATTTTCTATAGTCCAAAAGAACCAAGACTTGTTCATGGTCCTGTGTCTCCCCAGTTTCCCCTCCATGTTTACAGTCTTCCTGGTTTGCTGCTTCTTATTCTGTGCTTTCATGCTAACATTAGTATTTGCATGAGTTTTAAAACCACCTTACACCAAACAATCTAGACCACAGGAGCATGTAACAACTGAGGTAAAATTTCAAGAATCTTATTTTGACACTGGAACCTGTTACCACTTTAATATAATCAGTAGTTTATTAGTGAGCCGCAGAGGTGTTGGTTGACAGATTTTGTTACCTTGAGATAGAGCCAGAATAGCTGTTTCCCCCTTTCCAATCTTAAATTAAAGCCAAGCTAAACTAAGCAGCTGCTGGGTCCAGCTGTATATTTACCATTCAGATACGAGAGTGGCATTGATTATCTCAAATAACTCTGAGCAAGAAAGCAAATGAGCATACTTCCCAAAATGTCCTACTACTCCTTTAAATGACATCCAGTTTAAAATGCATTCAAATAAACACATTTGGAACATGCCAGGTGGTTAAATGAGGCTACTTGAGCTCATCTGACACGGTTGCGGGGTTACATCAGGCGAAAACTACTGGGAACCACTGCACTAAGTTATGACATTGCCTCAGGAAAAAAACATTTTCACATCACAAATCCGAGCAGGGCTCTCGTGTAACCCTTAAACTGCAATAAACTCAGCTGTTCCTGGAAGCTCCTGCTCCATCACCATAAAGTGCTCAGCAGCATTAAAGCCCTGATTGGTTGTCCACTTGTGGCTATTAGGACATTACAAGTTTGGCAAGGATCCCGGTTTTTGCCAATCCTCTTTGCCCAGTAGTCCACTTTAGCAATTAGTGGTACTGGAGAGCAGCGGCATCATCTGGATATCTTGACAAAAGAAGGAGAATTTAAAAGGAGCTGAGAAGGAGTGAGAATCTCCTATATTATCACTTATTTTACATTCCTTGTGTAGCGTGCCCACTCAGACACTCTCCTCTCTCAGAACTGCAGGAGCATCTGATCTCCTGCTGTCATTTCAGTCTGGCTTTACTGCATATTTTAAATAAATTTGTCTTTAGTCAGAGCTGATCAAGACTTACTGTGCAAAAATAGCTGTGCAATCAAGATAAAACATAAGCTGCTCCTTTGCTCATGTTTGGTGGCTCAGTAAAAAATACGACCTGTTCATGATCTAAGCCACCTCTTGTCCAATATCAGCCGCCACCCCTTCCCAGTGACCCTCAAGGATAAGTGGGTATAGCTTACGGATACATGGATGGATGATTCAACCTTGGTTTAATGTGTGCTGAGCATCAGCTAGAAGTGCCACGGATAAAAGTGGGAGAATTGAGATGTTGGGCAACATCAAATGGCTCCACTGCACATTGACCAGAAAGCGTCAAAGAGTCTCTTGGTGATTCATAAATCACTTGGCACCAAGCTACAGCAGCACCTCATGCCAGTAACCACCCACTCACTCAAGGGTTGGTAGCTTTCTGGGCCAGCTGAGCTTAAGCCGTGGATGTAGCGGGCAATGCAAGGTGGCATCTGTCACCACTTTCAGCATATACCTGACTCACCAGTGATCGTAACGCTGCCTCTTACTGTCAGACCTCGGTGACTCAGCGTTATCATCCAGTCTAGTAAACGGAGTCACTTTAACTCTGCTCTGTCTGTCTATTACATCACTTTGGTCGTAGGTAACCATCCCTAACACCAACACTCAAACACCTGCCGGTCTGTCTACTGAGGAAATGACACTCAGCTCCACTCAGGAAGCTGAAACAGCATTTCACACCTTTTTTTTCCCCAGTTGTTTTATTTTCTGTCAGAGTGTGATCAAAGACTAACTGTGTCTCCTGCATATTCACATCCATCTTTGAACTCAGTGGTTGGCTTTCTGAGGTAATAATAGAATTGTACATTATGAAATTATTCCTGGCCTGTCTGTCCACGGAGCAGCATGCCAAGACCTTGTCCAATTAAAGCTACACCCTCCATGTGGTGTGAGTTAATTAACATCACAGATGCAACAAAGGCGGCCAGGCACGGAGTTCTGCTGCAGGCTAAAAGGAAAGAGCAGGAGAATAGGTTTAGCTCCTTGAAAGTCGAAGTATGACTTTTGGCATTGCTACGAGCAAGTGAGGTGGCAGCAATTTTATTTTTGGGCTGTGTTTGTGATCTTTTATTAGATATGTTGTCATACATTTACTTTGCAGTTTAGGCATTTTCTCTAGAGTGCATTAGAATAACCTTTGAGTGGAAACTTTTATTTTCCCATCAACAATGCGTTATTTTGGGCGGCAGAAATGAGTGGGATGTGATTCATAGAGGTGGGGGTGAGCTGAAAGCCTTTACAAGAATTACAGACTTGTAAAATATTCCTGTAAATCTGATTGCTTTTTGAAAAGCAAAGCTGCCACGTTTTTATTAGTCTTTGTGTTTTCGGGCTTTCAGCTGATTTTCAAGCCAATATGTTGTTATACAAAGATCAGTGCGGATCATTAAGCACACACATCGTTATCTGAGACAGTTTCAGCCATGCAGCTAAAAACCATGTCCTTTTTGTTCAATAGGATCCAGAAGATTTTTTCCAAACCACTCATGTGGCAACTTGAATTTTATGATGCAGACATGCAGTCGGGGCTTTAGTAAGGCAGTTTGGAGCTGATAAAGCAAGGATATGCCCTTAATTTCTTTTCTTTTACTTTTTAATAGTATTCACTGTGTTTATATGCAATCTTTGAAATGTATACATACATGCAATCCTAAAACATTTGTTCTTCATTTGCTTGGTTTACTGAAGCATTCAACCACATTTTACGATAACAAATAAACCATCTTTGTTAATAGATTGTCCCTGTGGTTGGATGTGAATAGCCCCTTTGATCTTTCTCCAGATGTCCACTGATTCTCAGTCCCTAACCTTTAACCCCTTCTGACTCAGTGCCGTGACTAGTTTTAGTCTGGTGTTCGCAATATAAGATTTTAGGGGCCCTCTTTGGTTTGAAGAACAGAGACCGGATATGAACCTAGTCCAAATTACACACAGGTCAGCTAGGGTCTTGCTTTACTGCCGCAGTTCTCTGGTCTGTGTGTCAATATTTCTAATATCCTGAGCCTACTCTGCTCTAATCATGTGGTATGTCATAATCAAAGCTGGAGATTTTATAAAAGTAGCTGCATATGCAAAGGATTTATATTATTAATGATGATTACTTTAATATTTCATATTAAATTGGTTAGAAATGTATCTTATGTGTATCTATAACTTGACCTCTGCTGCTTCACAGGTCCAACATTTCAGACTTGAGAGGACCTCTAGCTCATAGTTTAGCTGCTCTTGTCTGTTTTCATTGTTCATTCAGTGTCTTTTATACTTGGCCAATGTAATAAAAAAAAAAAAAACAGAACGGAACTGGTCACAGCATCCGACGCCAAAGGAGTGTGAAGCACAAAATCAAAGATAAATATTTTTCCTCTTGCCTGTAGTGCTTTTTATTGATCTAGATTGATTTGGTGTGAGTTGCCAAGTGTTGTAGATACCGGCTGTAGAGATGTCTGCCTTCTCTCAAATATAATGGAAGTACAGCACTTGGTCTGTGGTGCTCAAAGCAAAAAAAATAAATAAATAAATAAGCTATTGAAAAATTGAACAGCAATATCTCTTTGCAGAAATCGTGACCCAGTTGTTCGAAATAGTCCATAGACATTGTTGTGAGCAGTTTTATGAAGGAACTATTTTCTTTCTATCGAACTGCACCTGCCAACCGTATCACAGCACAGATCAAAGCCTGCATCTACTGCTAGCTAACGTTACGGTTCAGTCAAGGAGGACGGCATAAAGTAGATGAATGCTCTCCTTTGCACAGGGATACAGTTTGTGGATGTAGTTCCGTGGAAAGAAAATAGTTCCTATACGAAACTGCTTACAACAAGGTCTGTGGATATTAGCACCACAAGCTCAGTGCCATCTAGTGAGACATCCATATGGCCGATATCTCCAATGATCTGCAACTCACACCAAAACAATCTAGACTGATAAATACCAGTTGTTGTTTTGGGGGGTGAATGGTCCCTTTAAAAAAACAGTTAAGTGGACCTTGTGATAAGATTGTTTTTTTCAGGAATAACAACTAATGCTGAATATCTGTATTTCTATCTACACAGAATGAAGCTGCGAGTGGACAAACTGAAGAGTAGCAACACCTTGTTTCCTTATGTGGTACAGAGGAGATGCCCCACAGATGCCCCCTTTCTGCACCACAGACACAAACACCAGTGGTGGGCTAGCCATACTGTAGTAGTTAGTAGTGACTACTGCCCCTTTTCAATGAGCACAAAACACCCATGGACTGACAGAAGCAGGCTGATATGGCATTTAGAAACCAAACTGAACAAAGGCTGCCAGGAGACAGAGAGGGCCGCACTGCTGCTACCACAGCAGAGGAGCGACACATTCAACTGCTCACAGGTGTTCAGTGATCCCCGGAAGCGGCTGCCAAGGCCTGGAGTATCCCAAACAGATCTGAGCTGAACTGGATAAACTGTACTCGCAAGCGAGGAGGCTTGCCTGTTTTTAAAAAAGAAGCTCATCTTTCTAGATATAAAATGTTTATTACACTGCTGTGTCAGTTTGTGTTCAGTAGCAGTTAGACACAGTTGTGGGTTATCTATTTGGTGATTTATTTATGTGAACTAGTCAGAGAAATATATGAGTGGTTAACATTCGGAACATGTAACAGCTTAGGTTGATGCTGAGCATCTCACGTAGACTAGAATGTTTTTGTTTCTTACTGAAAGCAGACACAAAATGTCTCTGCAGCCATGTTAAAAAAAAACAGTATCTTGTATGATATGTTTTAGGTCTCCTTTCTGCAAAACAAGGGATTTCTCTATATTGTAACGTGTCCAAGAAGGACACAACGCCATACAGATTAACTACTGTAGATCTAAAGGTTTTACATTAGGTCATCAAGATTTCTCTTTTGGTTTAGTGATGCTGAGAAAAGGAATCTTGACTTTCGATAAGTTATTCACCCTAAACATCAATGAGGATCAGGGATGCCTTCACAATAGCAAAGAGCTTCATGCTAAGTTAAACATAACCTTAATCCTTGGCTGTGAGCCTACAAACCCATTTGAGACCATTACTTATAAAGTTAGTGCGAGACAGTTGCCTCGGTAACCTCATCCATCGACTTGTTTGCCCTTCCTCATTACCGGAGCTGCCTGAAAAACAGCTCCATTAGCAATATGATGCAAATGAATTTCCATTTGGTTCCTTTATAAGGAGCCCTCTATATCCCACATTGGTAATAGACAATTGTAAGCGATTAGCCATAATAGAAAATGTAAAAAACCCATTAAAACCCCTTTCACTGTCAGCAATAATGTACAGTAGCTTAATCAGAAGGATGACATGGTATGTAAAAGTCAGAGGCGCCAGCCAAATGAGCACTGGGAGGGTAGTCATTGAGGTGTATCGCAAAGCTTTCAGGTCGGTTTACATTTAATAAGAAGGTGAAGTCGATGAAATGGATTTAGAGTATTTCTGGATAATGAACTCGTATTGTCGCCAACAATTTCTGGGTCAGCTTTTTTAAGAGGGAAAAGTCAAAACAATTATCACTCTTTAAAGAAAAACTTTAGAGCTGCAACTAATGAATACTGTCATTATCAGACAGTTATTTTCTCAATTAGTCAATGAATCATTTGGTCTTTAAATGTCAGAAAACAGAAAAAATTGCCTGTTATTTGTCAGGGATTGAAATTGCTTGTTTGATTTAACTAACAGTCCAAAAGCCAAGGATTTTCGGTTGTATTATATATATATGTATATATATATATATATGATAAAATCCTCACATTTGTAAAAAAAAACAAAATAAAATAAAAAAAAAGCTCCGTTATCTAATTGCAATCCTGTAGAGCTGTAACAAAAGATTAATTTAATTATCAATTAATGAGCAAATTATCTCTCTTAATAAATAGTTAGGTCTCTTAAGTGTCAGAAAAGAGAAAATGCTTGTTTACTTGTTTTAGCTGACCAACAGTCCAAAGTCTTAAGATTTTCAACTATCACAGTGGCCATAGAAAAGCTGCAAATCATCACATTTGCAAGACTGACAATAAGGAATTGTTTGTCATTCTTGCTTGAAAGAATGACCAAACCATAAACTGATCAACCAAATAGTGAGTTGGACGAATTAATGAACTGACTGTTTGTTTAAGCTCTAAAATCACCACAGTTAAGGAAAAAGGTATTACTTTATGCCCAAATCCTAATCAACTACTGAGACAAATTCTCTGTAATCCATAAAATGCTAAAAACAGACAAAGCAGCTGTTGATGCCAGACTGTATATGAGCGACAGCATATGAAGACCAGGTGGACAGACGTTGGCATGGTAGGGGAGAGGTATCGCTCCCAATCTTGCATCTGCAACTGCTACTCTGGCAGCTGCCGAGCCTGTGCGTGTACAAAATCTCTGGTCCGTGCAAACATTAACATCCCTGCTGAAAGCTAACGGGAGATACCATTAATTGTTCAGAGTTGGCTATAAGCCAGCCATGAGACTTGCGGTCTTGCCATCATATTTTACCTCCCTGTTTCATCAAGTCCGAGTGGACCCTCTAAACAGAACTCTGCTCATGCGTTGTTAACAGGGCCTGCAGGCGTCACCCTCAGTTATCAGCAATAATATTCACATTTGCTGAGTTGTTAGAGCAAGTTAATTCCCATTTCAGTGGCTAAAGTTTAATTGCGTGTGTGCCCCAGCAGGTTCGTGCTTTCAGGGGCAGAGAAATAGGATGTGGCCAAATGGAATAATTGGCCAAGGGTTCAGCAATTGTTCTAAATTGCAGTCTCTTTCTGTAGCTGCCTCTTTATTCCCAGAGTGTGAACAGCAGCAGCAAACAGGGAGAAGTTTTTAACAGATGCAGCAGTACGAAGAAGATTAATTAGTTCCTAATGCTGGATAAGCGGGAGAGATCTGCTATGCTAGAGAACATGTCGCTTTTCAGGGCTCTATGCTGTGTGCTCTGACCTGTAATAAAGCAAAGGTTTGTTCTTATCACCAATAAAGTAATAGTCACACCCAGGGAAGAAGAAAAACTAATTTTGCCTCTGACAAGCAGTAGCAGGGTCAAAAATTGATTCTTTCCCCCATTTCTCAAAATGTTACAACTTGGTTTTGTGATGTTTTCTGTTTTGTTTGAAAACAGTCTTGACTCTGGCCTGATGTGATGTGGTACTGTAAATCGTATCAGCTCAACCCTCTTCCCAAAAAAAATAAATAAATAACAATAAAAAACACAAATAAAAAACGGTGGGAAGAAGCGAGCACACATCTGTTTCAGTCTCTCCAGGTTGTCATGGTAACAGTTGCCTTACAGTTGAATACCCACCTGTACACAGAAGCTTTGTAGTGGTTGATACCTCACTTTTTGGGTGTGGTGGTGATGATAATGTGCACCACGTTCTGTCTATGTATTTACTACTAGATAGAATGATCAGTACCGTTTTCAGTTGGATTGTTATTGCACTTGTTGACTTTGTATTGTCACGACAGGGAGAAATAAAGTTTTATCTTTTCCAGTGTGTTTAAAACCCTCTGCATCAGGTCTTCTTCGGGGGAAAAAGCATAATTTCATTAAGCCTTGAAAGCCAAGTTCCTTACAGAGTCTGGAAACAGACAAAGATTAATAGAAGGTTATCAGAGAAGTCTAAAAAATGAATGATTATATCAATAAATCATACTGTTTTTACTTGAAATGGAGTGGCAACGTTGGTTAGAAATAGAGATAACAATTTAATTCTGTCCTTAACCCCCAATGATTTGATAAAAATAAATTAAAACTTTATTTCACACTTTCATTTTGTCTTTTACCAGCTATTTTTGGCTCTTTAGTGTTCCTGTTTTGAGGGATATTGGCACACATCTAATAATTTACCTGTCTTATTTTCCTTACCACATTTCCAATTCTTCTTTTTTAAAAACTTCATACTGTCTTTGCAGTGCAGTGTAAAGCTAATTACACCTATGTATTAATAGTAGTATATGGATAAATGTAAGATTAAACTGTTATTCATATAACATAATCATGTTTCGATGCATACATTAAATGCTTGAATAAGACAGCAGTTGGATTTATGCTGTATTCATAGTACTTCTATAGCATGTTTCAGGTTTAAACATTATTAGAGAAAGGGCTTTGAGGATACGGACTAAGTGATGTGTTTGGCAAAGGTCATCTTCATATAATATTTCAAGAGAATGGTTGGCTCTGGTTCTGGAGTGTAAGTTTCCCAAATCCATTAATGAGCTCAGTAGAGCCACTTAAGTTACTATGATATAGTAGCATTCAGGTCAGGTTCCCACTCAATGTGACCAAGGCTTTTTGTAACTTAAACCAAGACCCTACAAAATAATGCAGTTAGCTGATGATATGCTAACTCTCTGAGGTACTGGCCAAGGTATTAACTTTCAATAGTGAGCTAGTTAGTCTGACATGCTAGCACCTCCAGCTTACATTAGAGCAGATGAACAGGACTGACTGTTCTTACACTCACTTGGGTACCCACAGAACCCATAGGTTTACTTTTTGTCATATCTTACAGGTGCTTTATGCAATCATTCCAGTTTTTCATGACAGTGGGTTTGTTCCTAATGAGTTCATTACCAATGTGTTGGGGCTCTGGACAGGGTTCATGATTAACACTCGCCAAGCCCCAAATGCATTTGATGAGTAAATTTCTGAAGGCTTTCCACCACACAGATAGGTAAATGTTTGTACCACAATAGCCATGTAATCGCATACAAACTATGCTGAGGGTCTCTACCGCATTTTGGTGTCACTGGCAGGCATGCTGCTCTGCTGCTCCTCTCCTGCCGGTGAAACTTTATCACACATAGACACTGCAGGTGTGTTTTATGTACATCTAAATGGTGCTGAAAAACTGACTGCCTCGAGCACTTCTAATTTTTAAGAATTTTTTTTTACACTGGCTGATCCACTAAAGTATCACTTGCTGCCGGTCTGCTGATAGCTTTGAGTTGCACCACTACATATAAAGGTAATAAATATAATAACATAGAGACTCTAAAATCTGAACCAAGACAGAAAACTCTTCATTATCTCCCACATTGCCATGGCAACGCATCACAGCTTCACTTCTTACCTTTCACAATAAAAGCCCTAGACATACATTGCATCACTGCTTACCAGAGGGAACTGTGGTGATGTTCAATATTCTAAAATAATTTTACACTGGATTTTTCTCTAGCCTTTAAGTTTCAGTTGAGCATAATATGCTATCATCTCAATGAAATGTAGCCCCTGACACAAAAAGGCAATTTTTTATTTTGGCCTTTTAAAAAATCTACTTGGCCGGTGGATGTTTTTCATCTACCAGTCCCCTTGGCCGATGAGTCAAAAAGTTAATTTTGGACACGGCTTCTGGGGGACCCCTGTCAAAAGCACTCAATTCCAGCTATAAAGGTTTAGCCAAATAGACAGAACTATTTATAAAGTTCATGTTTGCCATGGGCCCTAATTTAAAGTATCACACACCATCATGTGGAGTAGGGGCACTCCATCCATCATTTTGAAGGTGACAGACACAAACATCCTCATGTGCTCTGTTGACGACCCCACAGTAAATACTGTTCTTTCTAAGGTAAGATGACATTCAAAGTCAAATAACTGTAATGTAACACTATCATAATATAATAATAATCTGTTTGTGGGGTTTTTTCAGAATACATTACATAACTAATAATATTTTGAGGAAAAATTAAGTTAAAATTTTGCTATGATGGTTCTTCCTTAGACTTTTGCTCACTTTTAGTTATATAGAAAAACTTGAAAAAAAAACACTACCATCATCCAAACTCTGAGTACTGCTTCTAATACAGGCCCATGCACACAACTGTGACGTGGAGAAATTACAGCTGAAAAGGTTTGCCGTGCATAGTTATGGTTGCTTAAATTGAACTATCAATTTTCGTGGCAGGGGTTTAGCTAACAGTCTTGTCTTTATTTACTAATTGATCTGAGGTTAAAAAAAAAAAAAAAAAAAAAAAAAAAAAAACTTGAACTCAAACATGAAGGTAAAAAAACCTCAAACCTTCTTTTTAACCAACTGACTGGAGGTTGAATGAAAAATCTTCATGTTGCTGATGTTTTCAGTCCTGTTTTTGACTCACATGTAGGCTAACCTTTAACTGCCTTTTATGTGTTTGGGGGCTTTATAAGCCTCTGAATGAATGAGTGTTTGCCTTTTTTTATGCTCAATCAATACACCATGAGATGATTCATCCAGCCTCAAAGCAGTGACCCTACCCACCTGACAGAGTCACATCCAAAACTGGCCGACACAGGAAATTCATTAAAGCAAAGAGGGGATGGTGAAAGACTAAGGCAGTGACAGGACGTGTCAGACCTTGACACCTTGCTTCAAATCAGACACCTGCTGCTGCTCGCCTGTGTCAAAGGCCCCCAGCATCCAATAAGTTGGTTACCACATTGTCAAGGTCACTTTGAGCTTTCCTAATAAGCTCTGACTTCTACTTTTAAACCACCCTTGTCGATCATTCTGTCCAGTTTCTGCCCATCAAACTGCTTCCTCACTGTCACTTTATCTTTGACCTCCTTCTTCCAGTATGCCAGTAACCAACACTCTTTACATCTGCGTATGAAACCAATTACTTCCATCCATCACCATTTAAAAACCATTGTCTGGATTTCTACATCCTGCTGTTATTGAGGAGCCCGAGATACATCCTGCCAACATTTATCTATTAAAACTCCATTAGGCCTCGTCTCTCTGATGTCCTGTCTGCTCAGGCCGGATGTTCTGTGGCACTGACTTCGCATTAAGATCCGTCTGAAATAGATACTAATGTTATTGTCTCATGATGTCCATGTAAACTAGCTGTTCTAAGTGATCAAGTAATACTGCTGTTGTGGACCACGTCTAATGCTAAGAAACACAAGAAAAAAAAACAGGATATTGCAAGACTGATAAGTTGTGTTGGCTAATTGTGGTATGATGTCAAAGTGCTGTTATTGTCCAATAGGGCTACAGGATATGAAGAATATATGTGGTAAAATTATTTAATATCTCAATTACAATATTACTTGCAATAAATAGAAAGACAGACAGAAATTAAAGTGTATTCACCCCTGTCTTTCTGCTGCTTTCAATATAAAACTAAAAGACAACAAATTACTTGTAAAATACAAAAAATGAGACGAAATTCAACATTCTTTTACTGTACAAACTGAACTTTGAACTGAACACAAAAGGCACCAATGAAAAAAGGTTAGGCTATTTCAACTAACTTAATCCCTGAGTGCAAAAGTTCAATCTTTTGTGATGTATTTATCATACAAGTTGACATTGCTACTACTATAAAAGAAAACAAAACAATATATTGTGCAGCCCTTTTGTCCAACACAGAGAAACTAAGAATAAATTTCTTTCAACAGGACATCAGGGTGATGACCATACTCAGGACTGTCTATGAGCACTTTGTTTTAAGCGAATAAAATTAGACATTGCATACTCACAGGCGTCAAAGATGTACATTTTACTTCATCAAATATTTCTTTTTTTTTTATCATTCTTCACACTAGTCTAGAGGGAAATTCAGGTATTGCAGCAGCACAAGGACAGAAATAAGTACAGATAAGCACAGAGAAACATCAAAAAATAAATAACCAAAAGTAGAAGTGTGTAAAATAAAAATAGAAACTATGCTAAGAGCAGTTAAACTGAAAATTATGAGGCAAACAGCTATACCCATAAACAGCATTGTACTATAACCATAGATTGTATAAAAAGAATAGATGTAGCCACCGCGCAATTTGGCCATCACGATTTTGTTTTTTGAAGCCAGAAATTACCATATTTGGACGAGAAGTTGTGTTTATTTCTGCTGTAAAGTTGGGCATTTTAACATGGGGGTTTATGGGGACTGACTGCTTTTGGAGCCAGCCTCAAGTGGCCATTCAATGAACTGCAGTTTTTGGCACTTCCTGTATTGGTTTTGTTTTTCAGCCACGTTGGTTGTGGCTCGACTTGAACTAAAAATGCAGTACCATGTCAAACAAAATAACAGTGGATGAAGTGACAAAATTTCAATACATTGCCTGTTACTTATTAATGTTTGACTCAGGATTGGAAAATTAGCACAAATGCTGCTAAAATATGGAAATGGATGCTAGATTTTCTTCACTCACCATCTATGAGTAAGCAGTTTAAAGAAAGACTGATTAGCCCTTTTCAGATTTATTGAATTGAGCACTTTTTAGAGGTCTGAAGGTCCCCTCACTATTTTATAATAAAATGCAAAGACTAGAGAAACATCTGACAAAATAATCACAATTCATGTAGCTGAAATATGATTTGTTTGTGCTGTGTGTTATGTGTTTTTCTCCTGATCTTGTAGCTCATCTCACAACCCCTCCAGCTGGTTCAGTGACCCTGAGGGGGTTTATTTCATATTTATCAGTATAATATTACTTAACATTTTCACAGGCTGTAGTCCTTGATGATATATTGTGTGCAAAATGGGTTTTGTAGTCGATGTGACATTAGAGCTCAGTCAGCTATCTCATATGAAACAGATTTATTATGTAAATAGAAATTATCTACAAAGCTAATATTTGATATCTATTTTCTCATCACTCCCCACAAGCACACACCAAGCTCAACGTCACTGAGAGATTGAGAGTGACAGTTCTAAACCTAATTCGTCCAAAACTGCAGGGAACACCCCACCATTACCACAGTCCACATGATTTGTAGCGCAAGCTAGGACATTATGTATGCAGCAGATATTTTTTATGAATATTAAACTCACAAAAATA